ATTAACGGGGGTTTTGTCGGAAAAGTTTCCATTTGTTCGTTTTCACAGAGAGTTTTTTACCTTCTTATTGAAGATCTGAATGATTTTACAACGTTTTACTTCAATCGATTTTGATTATAATACGGAGTCATGTGTACTCAAAATGTTATGAGCTTAAGAATGTTCTTCTGAATTTCCTTGTTAAAGAATGTTCCAAAAGTTGGTTATTATATCAAACGAAATCCATTCTTCTTTTGTGAGTTTATTAAATAGTTCAGGTTTTTTTTTCAAATAAGTATCTACTTTCAAAATGCAATCAAATAAGCTGAAAATAGACAGGCAATAAAACACCAGAACTTCAAAAAAGAGAATGCTTAAAAGAAAGCAAAAGGACAAATAGAATTAAACATATTTATGAGACTTCAAAAGCATCAAAACATCAAACATGATATTAAACTTTGAAACAAAAATAATTTTGAGTAAACGAAACAAATTCTTTAGCAGTTATTTTCTCGTGGTGTGAAATAAATTGTACGACCATAACACAATTAACTTAGTGTCAAAGATATTATACGAACATAAAAGAAGTAACTTAGTGTGAAAGATATTATACGACCATAAAAGAAGTAACTTAGTGTGAAAGATATTATACGACCAGAAAGACAAATAATTTATTGTGAAAGATATTATACGACCAGAAAGACAAATAATTTATTGTGAAAGATATTATACGACCATAACACAATTAACTGACCGTTACTGTTACGCAGATTCAAAACAACGAACTAAATAGGACCATCGTTTTTGTACAACTACACTCCAGTTAACTATGTGAAATCGTCATTGCTATATAACCACAAAATAATTAACAAAGCTAAACAGTTATTATTACACAACAACAAAATAACTAATTAAATACGAATGTTATTGGTGTACAATTACAAAACATCGAAGAGTTATTGCCATACAACCACAAAATAATTAACAAAGCTAAACAGTTATTATTACACAACAACAAAATAACTAATTAAATACGAATGTTATTGGTGTACAATTACAAAACATCGAAGAGTTATTGCCATACAACCACAAAATAATTAACAAAGCTAAACAGTTATTATTACACAACAACAAAATAACTAATTAAATACGAATGTTATTGGTATACAATTACAAAACATCGAAGAGTTATTGCCATACAACCACGAAACAATTAATTGAGCGGGCACGTTATTATTGTGTAACAATTATTGTTAGAGAACCAAGTAATTAAACGTGACAGATGTTGTTATATATTATTAACACATGTAAGGAATTATAATTCTTAAACAACCACCATGTAAATTACTGTATACGTTGTTTTAAGCAGTCCTGACAGAAGTAGCTAATTCCGAACATTATTGCTCTATAATCTATACGGCTAAACATCGGGAAATAGACTGTTTTCTTGATTTGTTGATAAAAATACAATTTTTAATGAAATAGAATATCGAGTGACGTTAACTCTTCTTTTAAATACGTCCTGAATTATAATAATCAAAATAATTTATAGAATTTTTAGAATATATCTTTTTTGTTTGTATTTTTACAGGGTAATAAAAGAGAGATAAAGAATGACGTCATAACGTTTGTTTATACTGCTCTATAAAGAGCGTAAACACTATATATTGAGGATTAACCAATTCGTCTGACGTCATTTCTGAAAATGAATATCCGTAACGCATTTCTGCTTTGTTGTTTATATAAGATATAAAAGAAAGAAAAGACAAGCACTGTGTTTTCTAATCTATTATGTAAGTTATCTCTGTGACGTAAATGTCTTTTTTTTTTTTACCTGAGTTTGTCCAGCCCGTCCTCTAACGTCTCAACACCGTATTTCTGAATGTGTTGCCACAGCCTAGGGTTTTCGCTGTATACGTAGCCTTCAGCTGCACTTCCTTTGGTAGCCCCTGTCCGTTGATTTAAAAGCTGAAATTGAAACTAAATGATTATCTCTGATTTATAAATACGGTCAGTATAGAACATATTAATTTGAAATCTCCCTCCCATTTTTTTCTTTATAACCTTGATGTGATTAATCTTCGAAGTTCAAATTTATCTCATTAGTTTCTACTGGCTATCAGTGCAACCTGATAAAGGTGTACGCTAACAGTTCAAAATGTCGTTTACAACAACAAATACTAGCAGATGAAACCTGTAACTCTTTCTAAGATGCTAATTTTAAACGTCAGGAATAAAATGTATATCGTTTTCATATCCTTGATTAAATTGCAATTCCATACAAATTAATCTATTGCCCTATAACACTGGTTTTACTAGCTTAAAATGAATGTTTTTTTTTTGGCTGAAACGTAGTCTGTTTTTATATTTTTATTTCCTGTGTCTTTATTTAATTGATATTATTTCCTAAGGAAAACGAAGAAAAATTGGTATATGTAGTATGTGTGCGATATTCTTTAAGACCACGCTTACAGATTGAGGTTTTCTTTCCGAAATTGGATAGTTATATGGGTAAACTATCACTCATAAGTTAAAAGAATGTGAGAGCATATAACTAATATTTTGAGTTATAGATCTAGTCAGAATATAATGTAGAACCAGCCAAAACTGAGCTTAAATATGTTAGAATCGAAGTTATAACTAGCGATAACTTAAGTTAGAATGAGTCAGAATTTAACTTAAAGTTAGAGAAATTCTAAGTTAAAGTTAGTTATAATCTAAGCTAGAGTAGCCACAATTTCAGGTATAATAATCGGTTAAAACCTTTACTAGAAAACATTAGAGCAAGGTGGTATAAGTTACAGATTAATTTGGAACTAGTCAAAATCAAGCTACAAAACGTGAAAGTAAGCTAAAGCAAATGCTAGATTAAGCTAGAAAAAGACAGTCTAAGTTAGAACAATGAAAATAAGCTAGAAAAAGGCAGTCTAAGTTAGAACAATGAAAGTAAGCTAGAAAAAGGCAGTTTAAGTTAAAATATCGAAAGTAAGCTACAAAAGAGCAGTTTAAGTTGAAATATCGAAAGTAAGCTACAAAAGAGCAGTTTAAGTTGAAATATCGAAAGTAAGCTACAAAAGAGCAGTTTAAGTTGAAATATCGAAAGTAAGCTACAAAAGAGCAGTTTAAGTTGAAATATCGAAAGTAAGCTACAAAAGAGCAGTTTAAGTTGAAATATCGAAAGTAAGCTACAAAAGAGCTGTTTAAGTTGAAATATCGAAAGTAAGCTAGAAAAAAGCAGTTTAAGTTGAAATATCGAAAGTAAGCTTGAAAAGGGTAGTCTAAGTTAGAATATTGAAAGTACGATAAACTACAAAATGGCAGCCTAAGCTAGAACGATTGAAAGTAAGCTATACAATATTCTAAAAAAGGGTAGTATTCTAAGAAAGAACAATGGAAATAAGCTAGAAAAGGGATGCCGATCTCTAAGCTAGAACGACGAAGTAAACAATGGTCAGTCTGAGTCTAAAAAAAATTAAATCATAAACCTATTGTTTCATAACTAAATATACAATCCAAATATATATCCTTAAGTCTGCAAAATGTTTGACTACAAATAATTAACATCTACATACTCAAGAAGCACAACTTTACTAATTATTTAAAATGTATTTAATAGAAGATTTATGAATTCTTTCTGTAAATTTTTAATACTGACAAGGTATTTCGGTTAGTATTTGGCTGATTATAATTTGACAGTTCAATTTACGTATAAGTATATTTCATTAATGACTATCACGATTCACCGCACCATTCAATCGGAATCATTATTTCTGTTTCTATCATTTAAATATACAGTTAGGTTAAGATTAACTGCTGGATTTGTTTTTATCAGGAACTGATATATTTTTTAATGTTTGCTTTAGTTTATTACAACACTAATAGATGTCGCTTTATCGGTCATAAAGATACATTTTGTGTTAATTATTCATACATTACATTATTTTTCATATCTCATTAGATTTAGTATCAAGATGTCACTTAGAGTACCAAAATATCTTTATATACATTAACATTAATTTGAACCTACTTGTAATTTTTCCAGCTTAGCCTGGCAAGCTTATTTTACTTACACTAGAATCGTGAAAGTCGTCAACTCGGAGCTGGAAAAACAGGCCTGCAAAAAGGGCAGCTATGTTTGCTGTATATGAAGCTAAGAAGATGACACTGAAACAACCCCACAAGTTGATGAGAACCTTGTTGGGCCAGGACTTGGGAGCTTTGAAGGCCACTAGATGGCTAAAAAGAAGTGACCACATTACCCAAAGAGCAGAGGCTAGACTGAAGTTTGTGGTTCGCTGTCGTCCCCAGGGGTTTAGACCGAAAGGGCTCAGCCACTCATAGATGGCGGCAGCGAAGGCTGTGACGTTGAGGCTGGCGAATATGGCGACCCAGAGTTCTACACTGAACGGAACCAGGAAAGCTGAGAGCGGTACGTCATGTATCTTGGAGGAAGCGAGACATGAAACTCCGGAGTGGAAGTAAGGGACGGAGAAGTCGATGACTTCATATCTCATGCTAGTTATACTGAAAGAAGAGAAGGCTAGGTTCGCGGCACCACTGATGAGGTCAGCTGTGATGCCATTCCAAGACTGACCTCCGCGACTAGTGCCAAACATGCCGTCAGCTACCAAGTAGATGTCATATTCAAAGTTTAGGTCACGTGCTAAGTCCGTAAGAAGGTCCATGGTAATCCCTGCACAGCAGGTAACATTGTAGGCCTTGCCTTCAGCTTTACCACGTGTGTAGTCCGAGAAAATAGTCATTAACTCGTCTTTACGGTTAGTATGTACCTGAAGACACGGTATGCCCATTAAGCAGCTTCCATTGCTAACCCTGGTGGATTGCTGAACAAAAGGCGGATTATGAGCTGTTACCACACGAAAGCGCTGTTTTCCAGATATCCACGGTCCCATTCTTCTTGCTCCGACCCACAGGACGGTGTCTAGTCGGACGGACGAGCCGCTTACATTTCCTATTATTTGCCAGTGTGGAATGCCGTCACTAGATGGCGATAAGCTCCAAACCTCAAACACTTGAGACGATTCGTGATTGTGACTTTGATGATTTGTATCGTCAAGATGATTGCTGCGATGTGTGTTGATCAGAGCATTTTTCAAAGAACTATAAGATAACGTAAAACAATTAATCAACAACACCTACTCATGAAACAAATCAAGCAAACCTATTTAGATGTACAGTATTATTACAATAAAAAAGTAGAACAAAAACATATTTAGTTTGTGTGGATCTGTCATCGGGGTTTAATAGTGAAACAGAAATAAATATTTCATACATAAATTAAATTATTAAATATAAATAATTTTATAATTTCTTTAGATTGAATGGAGACATACTGAATTTGATACAGATTTGGTCTTTTCATTTCTGAAGCTTAAAACATAAACAAATTGCAGAACAATAACTTGAGGCATGCGCATTCATAATTTTATGACGTCACGAGAGTCACAGGTTAAATATATTGCTGGAAATTAACAGCGTGTGTATAGATATTTGATTTTTAATGAAAGTTAAGGTTTCATGCGGTTTATTAACTAAAGAATGGAAGTATGAATGTAATGAATTATTTCAACATTCTTTAATACGAAACTGTTCTGTAGAACTGGTATATTGCTAGTACTTCAGCTTCTAATTGACAGGACAGATATATTTTATAGTTTTAATTTCAATTTTATGACATAATACATCGTATTTAGTTTCTGGAAGTGGCGTAGCTTCGATGATTAATAGTTGGGATTTGTGGGGTTCTCCGGTGGGACAGCGGTAAGTTTACGGACTTACAATGCTAAATCCGGGGTTCGATTCTTCGTGGTGGACACAGCAGATAACGCACTGTGGCTTTGCTCTAAAACAAACAAAGAATCCCTCTAACTTGTGGATTATGATTTATCTAAGAAGTCATAAATTCCACGTATTGTTCTGTACATTAAATAACATATAGATTGACAAATAAAATACAGTTTGAAAAATTCTGAATCCAAAAGAAATTAGATATTCAATTCCATTCAAAAATTCTTATTCTAAAATTAATTTTAAATATAAAACAATAGCCTTTTTTTTACTTGTTTTGAGCAGCCGACTAAAAGATAATTTTAATAAGCAAGTGATTTCAGGTAATTTTGATAACCGTAAAAGTCATTACCTATATAATATTCTGAACAGTTGGTCAAAATTTCGATTAATTCTTGAAAAGGTGAAACTCACCTGGTTATTTTATTTTAAAATAAATGATATGAGACTTGCTACACCATCCGAGGCATTTTTTGAATGCTAGTTAATCTAACCTATATAAAAGCCAGTACGTGTCACGTCACGTCACACCATGTTTGATTTTTTTTTATTTCTCGAAATAGGATGAATTATAAAAGCCAAAATGCATTTATCCAGATAGAATAGTTCGATTACTGTCT